AAAAAAACGAAAAAAAAAACCAAAAAAAAAACAAAAAAAAAAAAAAAAAAAAAAAAAAAAAAAAAAAAAAAAAACGCATACAGCAAGGCATTAATTTCAATAGTAGGAAACGGTATTGTATCATAGTATTAATACCACTAATTATATTAATGGCAATTTTCTTGAGTAAAATTGCGTGTAGTTTATTTCCGTATCACGTTTCAATGAGTCAGTAATAGTGCTTTAATTTCTACACATTGTCTTTATATGACAAAGCCATGGGATCGGAAGTTATTTATCCGATTGGCATTGCCTAACAGCGTATTCAGAACAGCGGACTAACAGGTCCGCGGATCAAAAATGGCCGACTTACTTGAATGCTTCTTGCGTAATCCTCGCGAAGAATCTATTCAGTGTCTAATCGGGAATAAAGCAGTAAGCTTTTTAGTGGGTCACCATATTTGATCCGCTGATCTGTTAGTCCGCTGTTCTAAATGTGCTCTGAGTATTGCTGTGAGGACACCGACTTGATTACAAGTATATATTGATAGTATGTTGATAGCACGTTCTGGTAATGTTGGTAAAATCCCCCAGACCATAGTGAAATATTACTTTTGTTACTCACACTGCATTCGGAAATCAGCTGACGGAGCTGTTTGTTGAAGCACAAATCGTCTGGCAGAGATGCATCTCGCGCCATATAATTTCCCCTTTTATAAGTACCATTCTCTGCTTCAATTTGCTCAAATTGGCACAATGACATTTACATATTATCGCGCCAGTTTAATCTTTATGTTTTACAAGAGCATACTGCCAAGCTTAGTGGCATTGTTAAAATAGGGTGATGGATAGGGAAGAGATGAAACGTCTTCTTAACAATTTGCGTGAGTAAAACTCCGTGTAGTCAATTTATCATAACATCAGTTGTTTTAACTGAACTGTAATAACTGCTATATTAGCTTCGCCTACACGATCGCCCGGGATATCCAGTTCACAGGATACTCAGTTAAACAAACAAACAAATAAATAAATAAACAAATAAATAAATAAATAAATAAATAAATAAATATAGATAGATAGATATTTTTCTCAGAATGTGATGCGATACTTTTGATAGAAATCCCGTTTCAGTCTTGTTAGCATTATGTTCAGTTATAAATTAAATTCTACGTTTTAAATGCCATTATCTTATTAGTTCAGAGAGATGCGCATTGTACTTGTTATGGGCAAATTACGCTTTACTTTGAAAGGGTTAACCCCGATACTTGAAAATATTATCATGGTGAAATTAAAATCTACAGTATTAATGGCGGGCATGAGAAGCTTTTCCAGAACATATGGTTTATAAAAGTATTTGCTGTAGATCTGGCTAAAACTGTTCAGAATAAGGTATTATTTTTTTTCTTGGAATGTAGACTAATGGAAACAATCAAAGTGAAGGCTAAATAATGAATTCCTCTGTGTATTTGTTGTAATTTGTAAACGTGAAATATCTAGTATTGCACTGTATTGTTACGTATTGAATTCAGTGGTTTTTAATGTGCGTGATTATTTTTTTTCTTTCTGTGTGTATCATCTCCCACCATCCACCACCCACACACATATTAATGAAATATGGATGCGCTTTTACATCAGTCAAGTATGTGGAATTTAGACTTAAAATGTGTTCAGGTCAGAAGAACCACTCAGAACGATTGCGTTAATTCTTCAACGGTCGCTTATGGTCTAGAAAAGAAACTTTTGAAAATTTGGGTGAAAACTGAAAAAAAAAAATAAAGGCAATTAACATAACGAGACGTCTGTAGCTTTATTTACATGTATGGCTCTATATTGGGGCGACATCTTTGGTTTGATGTCTATCGGAATGTTTATACATGTAGGTCTACCTGTAGTAACAGTGAGGGTATGGTTACGCGTTTGAAACTGTCCCCAAATCATTGTTATCAGAATATCTTGCAAAGCCACTTATCTTCCTCAATTACAACCTTTAAAACGATAAAACCACTCAAATAAAAGGACCTGGAGTGTTAACAATGTATTTCCTTCAAAAATGTCAGGAATACGGGTGGCGGTCTAAAAGAATTATCTTATTATTTGAAATGGTACAGAGCATCGAATGCAAGGGAAGAAACAGGTTGGGCAATAGGTCGTGATAGGAGAAATCGTTTATTGAAGAAGAAAAGATTTGGCTTGAAAATCCCGTATAGAATGCCTTTATTGCCTCTAATGTACAGGTGAAAACAGGAAGTGGCAGATTCAGGAAGGAGAGATTTTGTGTGTGTGTGTGTGTGTGGGGGGGGGGGGGGGGGGGGGGGAAAAAGGGGGGGAAGGGTAAAAAACAAATTTGGGGGGAAAAAAAAAAAAAAAGCCC